GGATCCCACATACGAGGGCCAGTGACACTGCCCTCTGCAGCTAAGATGCTGAACAACAGCTCAACCTCGAACTGGGCTGTCCTGAGTCGCTGGCGACGGCGTAGGCTGCAGCCCCTGCTGCAGTGGGTGGCCATGGGCTACCGTGTGTAGCCAGCAGCCAGTGTGAGCAGCCAGCAGCCGCCGTGAGTGGCCAACCAGAAGCCGGCGACTGATCTGCCTCGCCGGGGAAGAGCGAAATGATGGTGCCAACTTGGGCCAGTGAAGCAACGTCCTCCACAGCTAGACTGAAGAACAAAATGACAGCAACTTGTCTGTTCCCCTACCCCCAATCCCCCAATTTAAAATAAATAAATAAATAAATAAATAAATAAATAAATCAGATGGAGAAAGACATGTACCATATGATCTCACTTATATGTGGAATCTAAAGAATAGAATAAATGAGCAAAATAATAAAAAACGGTCTCAGAGGTATAGAGAAAAAACTGAGGGTTGCTAGATGGGAGAGGGTTGGGGATGATGGAGAAGGTGAGAAAACACAAATTGGTAACCACAAGATTGCCACGGGGATATGAAAGACAGTTTGGGAAATATAATCAGTAATGTTGTAAAGATTTTGTAGGTTATCAGATGGGCACTTGTCTTATTAGGGAATCACTTCATGGATGGTATAGATGCCTGACCACTGCAGTGTACACCTGAAGCTGAAGAATACTGAATGTCAACTATAATTTTATATATATATATATAGTCACAGGATGTGGAGTACAGCATAGGGAATAGTCAATGGAATTTTAACAGCTATATACGATGTCAGAGGGGTAGTAGATCGGGGCAGGGGCGTATCACTTTGTGAGGTAACATTTATTATCACTATGTGTACAAGACATTATACACATTGTTTAAACAATGTAACTATTACATTGTGTACACCTGAAACTAGAGTAAACTAAAATAAAAAAATAATTTAAAAAAATGGGTTCCCTGTTCAACTCTAGTTTGTCCTATGTAATACATTCTATTGTTATGACTTTATATTAAAGTAATATGCTTGTAAAATATCTGTAAAGTCATAAAAGATAAGATTTTTTTGGCTGATACTTGTGGATATGAGGTTAGTCCTTTGGAGAAAAGCTTCCAATAACATCAAGCCTCAAGATTTAGTTTCAGTATAGACAGTTCCGTAGCTATTCTGAGTTCCATCTAATAAGTGTTATGATTAAAGTGGGGACTGGGCAAATGTGGATTGATCAAAGTAAACTCACCCAAAAAATTACAAGGAATCCTGGGATGTCATTACTCTGGTAATATCTGCTCTTACACCTCATCTATAACGATAGCAATAGAATGAATATTCACTGATGCATCGGATTTGCCATCATTTCCTGTAGATTAATACAATATCGCCTCTTCCCTGCCTTTGGTCAGGACCCTCTCCAATGTATTTTAATTTTGGCAAAGAATGATCTAGGCTTTGTTAATCTAGCTAGCATCTTCTTTGCCATCCATCCGTATCTTACTCCCACTGAGCTTTGCCTCCCCCTCCCCCTCTGCAAATGTTGGTCCGTTGAGAATCTACCCACATCCTTCCACTCTTCTCTGGTTGGCTTCTACTTAGCTTTCAGGATTAACCATTCTCATTCTGAAAGCCTGATTTATAAAAAGTGCTCACTAAATTTAGGGATTACTGATATTGGGGTTTTTAAAAAAAAATTGAATAAAAATGCACCCCCAGTCTGATTATCGAAGTATATGAAGTTTTGAGGAATGGATGGATAGATGGAACTTTGCTTCTATCGCTTTTAGTAACTCTCCCAGCCTTAAAAAAGCTTGTTGATGGAAATCTGAGAAAAGTTTCACTTAAGTGACGCTGAGAATGTAACTCGTCTGCACCCCTAGGCTAACCTGAAGTCATCTTTTTTTCTCAGCCTAACTTCATTTTCGAGCTGAGGTCATCGATGAGCTTCCACGTCGCTCCGCGGAAGGCGTTCGGCTAGTTCGGGCTGCGTTGCTTCACGCGGAAGTGGGCTGAAGGCGCAGGTGTGTGTCGACTTCCTTATTCTGTTGCCGACATGGCCGACTCTGACCCCCGCTATCCCNGACGTCATTTAACCTTAATTATTTCCTTAGAAGCCCTTTCTCCAAAAACAGCCATACTGGGGTTAGGGCTTCAACATATGAAATTTGGTAAGGACACAAACTCCAGTCCATAACAAACCCTCTGCACATAAATTCTAGAAATGATATCATAACATCAGGCTTCATAGTTGACATCCTAAAAATACTTGGTAATTATTTATCCACATCTTCTGGCCTTTCATAGTGGTCATAGTTCCTCTTGTTTTTCTTGTACTGAATTTATTCCATTGTTTTGAACTCTTGGAAGAAAAAACTTGGATTTTAATCTGGTGCCTTGATAATGGCATATAGCAACAAGTTTATATATGAAAATATTCAGCATATTTGGGTCTAAAAATATTAGTTACTTTTCTGATCAAATGGCCTAGGGCTTAGTCTGACAGTTCCATAGCATTCATTAGTTCCTCATCACATCATCTTTCTTGAATTTTTGCGCTTTTTTTTGTCCTCTATGATGATAGTATTTTCATCGTACATTACTGCTTGTTTCTTCTGTTTTCTTAACTGACTCTTTTTCTGGCTTATACTATGCACCCACAGGCTGAATTCTTTGATTTTTTTTTTACTCCAGATCTTGGAGATTTCATATAATGTCACACTCTTCATCTATTATCTCTACATGGACCACTCTCATATTTGTGTCCTCAGCCCTAATCTGCCCCACACATCCCCTTCTCAACTCCTGTCCCTAGTACTTATTGAACAATTTTATTTCAATTTCTTGAAATAAATCACCATGTCTCAAACTGATCATTTTCTATAAAATCAACTTTCTTTCTTTCTGGTCACAGGGACCAAGGGAACGCTTAGTAATTCTGACTGACTGATATATTCTGAAGAATTTACTGAGCGCCTACTGTGGCAAACATTGTGCTAGGTTCCTATATCCAATAAGTCACCAAATCTTATTCTTCTGTAATATCTTGCATATGTGTTTGGGTCTTTTCCAATTTTTCTGTACTAGTTATTTCATGTTTGGATTTTTTTTCAGTATCTCCTGCCTAGTGAAGTTATCCTTTATGACAAAATTGAAAGTCACCAACTGTGTTCTGGGTTGACTTGTGTACCCCTCAAAATACACGTTTAAGTCCTAAACCCTGGTACCTTTGAATGTAACCTTAATTGGAAATAAAGTCTTTGCAGATGTAGTCAAGTTAAGATTGGGTTATACTGGATTAGGGTGGGCCCTAATCCAGTGACTAGCATCCTTATAGGAAGAGGGAAATTTGGACACAGAAACACAGAGGGAAGAAGGCTTAGTGAGGATGAAGGCAGAGATTGTAGTGATGTAGCCACAAGCCAAGGAAATTCAAGGATTGTTTCAAAGAGGCATGAAACAGATTACCCCTAAGAGCCTCCAGAAGAAAGCAGCCCTGCTGACACCGTGATTTCAGACCTTTGGTCTCCAGACTGAGAGATAAGAAACTTCTGTTGTTTTAAGCCACCCAGTTTGTAGTAATTTGTTATGGCAGCCCTAGAAAACTAAAACCCTGTGAAGCGGTTGATAATCTTGCAAAGTTAATCATTTCTTTCTTGGTTCCATAACACTCAGTACTTACTTCTATCATAACTCCTTTTT